CTATACGTGATCAACCGGAATGTCGATCCTATCTTTGGACGTGATTGGATAAGGGAAGTTAAACTAGATTGGGCTGACATTAGGAGTATTACAAGTTCTTACATGCATGCAGATATCGATAGACTGATTGAGAATTACAAGGATGTATTTGAACAAAATATTGGTGTTATTCCCGAGGTAGAAGGTCATATACAACTACTTGAAGATGCCAAACCGGTTTACATGAAACCTCGTTTAGTGCCATATGCTTTAAGACCTAAAGTTGAAGAAGAACTGGACAGATTGGAAAAAATAGGAATCATCTCGAAGGTCGAACAAAGTGATTGGGGAACTCCAATTGTTCCAGTCGTGAAACCCAGCGGCAAGATCAGAATCTGTGCAGATTTCAAAGTGACTTTAAATAAACAAATTAAGGACATCAAATACCCTATTCCACGTATAGAGGACATTTTTGCAAAAATGAGTGGTGGTAAGTACTTTTGTACACTAGACATTAGTAACGCTTATTTACACATGGCAATGGACCAAGAAAGTGCGCTACTTCAAACAATCAGTACACATAAAGGACAATATAAGGTAAATCGACTCATGTTCGGAATCAAGACGGCTCCGGCTCTATGGCAAGGGTTAATGGACAAAATACTTTCTGGAATTGATGGCGTTCAGTGTTTTTTTGACGATATTATTATTCAAGGTTCGACTGAGTCTGAAGCCCTAACAAGGCTAGAAAGTGTTTTGAAAGTCATCAGGAGACACAACCTCAAACTAAATAAAGACAAATGTAAGTTTTTTCAAACACAAATCGATTACCTTGGACATACTATAGATCAAAATGGTCTACACAAGAACAAGGACAAAGTGGAAGCAATCTTAAAATCACCAAAACCGTCAAATGTGTCAGAGCTACGAACATTCCTGGGCTTGACTAATTACTACCAGAAATTTATTCCCAATTTGAACACAATCTTGAATCCACTACACAATCTATTAAAGGCACACACTAAGTTCGTTTGGACCAGAGAATGTGATAAATGCGTTGAAAAAGTTAAGGCTGAGATAGCTAGTGACCGGGTCCTTGCTCATTTTGATGAAAATGAAACCTTAGTACTAGCCACGGACGCTTCTCCAGTCGGATTAGGAATTGTTCTTTCTCACCGCTACAAAGATGGTACTGAACGGCCAATTTCATTCGCTTCTCGATCTCTCACTGCAAGTGAGAAAAAGTACAGTCAGATAGACAAAGAGGCACTGGCGATTTACTGGGGATTGAAGAAGTTCTACCATTATTGTTATGGCAGAAAGTTTATCCTTGTAACAGATCATAAGCCACTTGTTTCAATCTTTGACCCATACAGAACCTTACCTACTATGACTGCCACACGTATTTTCAATTACGCTCACTTCCTCTCTGGCTTTGATTATACTATTGAATATAGGAACACCAAATCACATGGTAATGCAGACTACATGTCTCGTTTTCCTAATGAGCATCCACCGACAAATCAAATCGATCAACACAAAGCCTTTTTCATTAATCAAATTGAATCAATGCCTGTAACACATGAAAATATTGCAAATGAAACATCAAACGACAATGAGCTAAAACCTCTTTTGAAAGCACTTCAAGATGGCACGGATTTAGAACATATTGGCTTGAAGAATAATGAGTATTCACTTCATGATGGCTGCATTTTTCGTGGTTCCAGAGTAGTAATTCCTGAAAAACTACAAGGAAAAGTACTCAATGAACTTCATCTAGGACACTTAGGAGTTGTGAAAATGAAAAATCTTGCAAGAAGTTTTTGTTACTGGAAACACATTGACCGTAACATAGAAGATCTAGCAAAGTCTTGTCGTCCATGCTGTTTGAAGCAGAATCTTCCTGAAAAAGTAGATGTCCATCCTTGGCTGGTTCCATCAGGACCTTGGCAACGAATACACATCGACTTTGCAGGTCCAATTTATGGGCAATACCTTTTTGTTATCGTTGATGCCTATTCAAAGTGGGTTGAAGTCATACCAACCAAAACTACAACATCTAATTGGTGCATTCAACAGCTCAGGAAACTCTTCTCCACCTTTGGTTACCCGTTCACGTTAGTCTCTGACAATGGCCCTAACTTCACATCATCTATTTTCAACCAATTTCTACAAGCTTGTGGCGTCACACACAAATTCTCTGCCCCCTATCACCCTGCAACCAACGGACAGGCAGAGAGATTTGTTCAGACTGTAAAGAAACAGTTAATAGCAATGGAGAATGATGGAGGAGATTTGCACTTCAAAATAAATCACATCCTAATGTCACTAAGGAATGCCACAAATGCTACAGGGTCCTCGGCATATGAACTTATGTTTGGGAGACGAATAAGGACAAGGCTGGATCTTATGAAGAAACCCCAAGATCACACAGAAATGCCCGACGGATGTACTAAAATCAAAAGAGAGTTCCGGGTGGGGGACAGGGTTCAGATGCGCAATTTCGGAAAAGACGGAAAGTGGAAATTTGGAAACGTAAGAAGGAGAGAAGGATTGGTGCATTATCAAATCGAGATGGACAATGGGCAGGTTTGGAGAAGGCACATTAACCACATTCGGCCGTGTAAATTTGAGGGGGAGGATTAATAAGGAGTTGTCATCAACATATGATTTCTTAACACACATGGTTTATGTTATTGTTTCTATTGTTTATGTTTGTGTTTATATATTTTTCATTCAGTTAAAATAGTTGAATAAAATGGGTTGTATATTCTCTTGTATCTTGTTATTATATAATTTAAGGACTTGATAATATACATACACATTTTTGGTGGTCTGGAGAAACCAATGATATACAATGATGAAAGATACTCAGATGTCGCATTTTTCTCATGTTTGTGGGTTGTTATTATCTCTTCCACAGAAATAACACTTTCTCTAGCTCGCATTTATTTGTTAAGCTGGTTTATACTACAACACGAAGCGAAAGCTCTATTTTATATATCCTCCAACCATATTTTTACAGTCACTCTCTTTTTCATTAATCCAGTCTCACTGGTTCATGGTCATAGTGTTGCTCCGATGTTTTAAACACTAAATTAAATATACAAACAAGGTATAGAAAACAACACAGTAATAATAAAAGCCAAAATGCTTTAGACAAGAAAAATAGCCCTTATTTGGTCACATGGAGTGTAACGGTCCTCCTCCAACAACTTTTTTCCCTCAATCCTACTTGTTTTCAACATGAAAGCTATGGTAGAACTTACACTTTCTATAGTGTGTGGGGAAAGGTAGGTAGGGGATGTAATGTAACATGTTTTTTTTTTGTTTTACCACCTACTCAGGGCAACCTAAAATACTCCTCTTTTCTAACACTGGTCACTGGTGTCTAGAGCAAAGTCCAACACCACCCCCCTTGCCCTTTAAACTCTCATGGTGGAGGAAGACCCTGTACCCTGTGCAATAGGAATTTCCCCACTGTGCTCTCTGCTCGGGCTCTTTCTTGCTCGTCTCAAGTATATTTTTGACACCTCACACTAGAGCAAGTCAGAATAGTCAGATTAGTGAGTTTGCTGATCTCAGTAGGTTAGGTACTGTCGCAGAGTTTATGCTTCTTTTATCAGCTCCACTACTGAATGTATGCCACGATGACAGAGATTTTTCTGCTCGTACAACAGCTATGTTTTTTGTGATCAGACTTTTGTGTTTTATCTGCTGTGACAAAGCTGTGCGTATAGCAGGGGCCTAAGACGTAACGAAACAGAACTGTATTCAGTACTTTATAGTAGTACATTAGAGTTGTGTCAGGAATCTCTTAGAGAAGAATCATTTTACATAAAAAAAATTATAAATAAATAAAAACGATTGTTTTAAAGAGTTTTTAATCAACATATTGTAAGCATTAGCTCTATTTCCACTTCAATATGGATTATTCAGGACGACCACATAATTTAATCACTTAAGTATTTGACACTACAATGAAGGGAGAGTGTAATCTCTAAAACAAACTGATATTCTTGGCAGAAGTTCAATCACCTGATTAAATTTATGGTTCTAAGAGTATTTGTATGTTGTGTTAGGTTCTTGAAATTCTGTTTCAAGTTTAAATTCCTGTATGGTTTTGTCAGCTATTGATGGCTTACACAATAGAAAAAATATTGCACTTGCACGCAACTGCTGGGAGACTTATTTTCGTCTCTTTAAACTTTTTGGGCTTGTCTCCTTACAACCCAAACTTGCCTGCAAAGTTTAAGTATTTACCTTTTCTTTACTCGTCATTCTTAATATTATTTTTTTCATGTAATATACCAATCACCTTGATTCACCTGCATCACCACAGTTTCACGGTATCTTTTGTGACTCTGGTGTTGCAAAAGGCTATAGAATGTGCAGTGCCACTTATATTGATTGTGAACTCTTTCAATGAAAACGGCCAGCAGCTACAAGAAAATGTACTGGATGTAGTAAAGGCAGACCAACTTGTGTTTAAGATTGGTGAGAAAATTAATTTCATTTGGACAAAAAGGTTTTTGAGAATCACACATTCTTTGGTATTACTCTATTCTACGACACACACAACATTGTATTTCTATTTGATTGTGAAAAAGAACAAACATTTGAACTTCAATTTGGATCTGGCATTTTCAATGTTTAGTGGTATTTTTGCAATCTATACTGTGTTTTTCAATTGGTTTTATTGCCTCACAAATTTACTTTTTCACCACCGCTTTCAAGTTATGAACCGAGCAATGAATTCCATGAAGAAATATAATAATCTGGCTCTTAAAGTAAGACTATTCAATGTGAGTAGTATAATGAAAATTAACACATTGAAAAAAGTTCACGCTGTGAACAGAATTGTGATGTTAGCATTCAACCAAAGACATGGTCTTGTTATTCTTCTTCACTTTTTGCAAAATGTAGCAGCTGTTATCATCAGTATAACCTCTTTGATTAGTGATGTTGTGACGTCAAATAAATCACCAGATCTTACAAACATACTGACTCTAGTACAAGGGACCCTGAATGTAGCAGCTACAACAATAACATGTGCCATGTCTGCTTCAGAGGTATTTATCATCACATATTTTTTTACCAAAACATTGCATCTAATGTTTCCCAATGCAGTTTAAATAATCAATTTAAATGTACTTTTTGAAATCAAAGTAATTGTAACTACAGTAGACCCTCTCTAATCCGGCACTGCACCATCCCGGCACTCCAGTAATCTGGCATCTTTTGGCGGGTGAGGTCTTCTGATTATCTCCCGCGGCCGTGTCGACATTATCGTTGTATTCCGCAGTCGCAGCAATAGTTTTACCATCTTCCGTGGCCGTGTAAACATCCTTATTCACTCCCGCGGTCACGGAAACGTCATCGTCGTCTTGCGCGATCGTGACAAAGCCATGAACATCTCCTGCGGTCGTCATCGTCGTCATGCGCGATTGCGGAAAAATCATGAACATCTCCCGCGGATGTGTAGACGTTATCATTGCCTCCCGCGGTCATGGAAAGGTCATCGTTGTCATGCGCGATCGCGGTAAAATCATGAACATCTCCTGTGGACGTTTAGACGTTATCAACGACTCCCGCAGTCACGGAAACGTCATGGTTGTCATGCGCGATCGCGGCCAAATCATGAACATCTCCCGCGGATGTTTAGACGTTATCAACGACTCCCACGATTACGGAAACATCATCGGCATGCCAGATCGCGCGATCTTCGGATCTCTTAACGAATCACTTAAGTGCATTTTAAGTGTTTTTATTGATAACGTTCCAGGAATCCTGCATTTTCACTAATCCGGCAATATCACAGTCCTATATCTGCCAGATTACTGAGAGTATACTGTACTGCAAAGGCGCTGCAACTATTTAATTCTAGATCAGAGCTATTCAGTTCTTGCAATCATTGTGTAATATATATATGATAACGTTACAATATTTGATCATATTGGGTTAGGGAAAGGAGAGGGATCACTTGATCTTCCTATAACTTACTATCCTTGTCCTATATTATCCTTGTACGTTGAATTTCCCTGTGGGAAAAATACCTTTATCATGGGAGATAACATATTACAATATCAGTAGTTGTTAATGCCAAAAGATTGACCTAAGGAAATCTTCATTCTTTCTCTATGTTATTGTACAGGCCTTAATGGCCAAGTGGATATTCTTACCTTAAACCAATTATTAAAATATTTCAAAAGTTTTCTACTAAACATTTTTGATGATAACTGTCTTTAGTGATAATACTTATAGTGTATTATATTAGACATATTTTTTTTGCTGTATACTCTATTTTAGATTAGTATTCTGTTTTGTAAATTTTTAACAGTGGGTTAGGAAGGTTTGAGTGAAGGATATAGTACCACTGAACGATATCTCCTTCTAAAAGTAAAAAAAGATAAATCAATTATTAAGGAACCATCATATATAGAAAACTGTCACATTGGCTGCTCCATTTAAATCATAGAGAATCCTCTTCGAAAGTAACACATTTTTTTTAACTGAATTTAAATTTGTTTAAGCGTCATTTGTACTGCAAAGTGATCATAATATAAAAAAGTACAATTATAAAATATACCATGTACGGTGCACTCAATTAGTGTATTATTTCTCATTAGTGTAATAAGGTATAGGCGTCCATAGAAGATTTAATCATTTTAGGAATTTAATTTCTTTGACAGTTTACTTTATTGATTCGGTCACAAGATAGCTTTCATCAATTGAATATTCAAGTACATATAAATGGATTACACTGAATTGGACTTCCAGGACCGAGTTTTTGCAATTACTTAGTATTTTTCAACGTTATCTGTAATCTATGAAAATGTACTCTTATTCCACATTACTTAAAGAATCTGTAGACGCTTGTAAAATACTGCTTTATGTTATCAATGCCCTTGGAATTTCCCCTTACACCCCTCAAATACATGGTAGATACAAACGTTTGCCTGTAATTTATGCAGTGATCTTGATGCTCTGGTTCGTAATATATTTTCCTATAAGTTTTTATTTTACAAATAAATTTTTTACCTTTAGCCTACCGATGTTTGCAATCTATATGCAGAAGTTTTGTGAGAATCTTGTTCCAGTTTTACTAATTTTACGAGCCTTATATGACAATAGCAACACCTTCAAATCTAGAATAAATGATTTGGTCTACGCCGACCAATGTCTCTTCACTGTTGGGGTAAAAGTGTGGTTTGGAGTGATGAAGCGCTATTTACAAGTGTCATCCGTAATTGTGACTACTTATTGTGTCTGTGTGACTGGCTTCTACACATACACTATAGCACTCACCATGTTGGGAGTTTGGGATTTGTTCTCAGCACTTATCTTAGCTCTAGCCAACTGTCTCGGGATGGTGTATTCTATTTACTTCTCGTACTACTTTTGCTCGGCAGTTACAATCTTTAAATATAGGTTTCAAGCTCTAAACGAAGAAATCAGGCTGATTCAAAAGAAAAGAATCACAAGTGGTATCAGGTTTATCACCGTGTCGCCTCAGCAATTGAAGGATATTGCAAGGGTAAAAACAATAAAATTTGCTCATGCTATATACCGTGATTATCTCAAGAAGCATAACACCAGATACGGTCCTATTTTACTCTTACAAGTGTTCCAAAGTACAGTGTTGACTATACTGTACATATACTTTACAGTGAGTTTAATGTATTACTCAAATGTTGAAGTGATTCCTCAAACCATTCTTACTCGGTCTGTAATGTTTTTCTCTTATATGGTTGGAATTGTCCAGAACTTTGGTGTTCTGCTCGGCTCCATAATATTTGCCTGCCACAGGACCAGTGTAGAGGTATAGAGAACTTTTTTATATTTCTCACACTTATAATTTTGTAACCTTTGTTACGACTCTGTTAATTAATCGACAATTAATTAATCTGTTAATTAAATTTGAACAATATGTGTCAGTTGCTCTACAGATACGTTGATTTATGGATGGACAATACCTTGTACTTCATGCTGAACTCAATTGACAAAACAATGAGATATTGGTTTTTGACCAATGAGCCAGTAGAGATAATCATTTTTGTTGTTATTAGGAGCTTTCCTTGTCTACCGAGATACAGAGCCGTTGTGACACACAATGGGCCCGAGAGAAGCTATATATGCAGTGCTCTAAAAATACATATGTTTGCACCCCTCTCGACCCCATCTTGCAGGGGAATTTTTCTCTACCTTGTGACCCCAACCTAAAACATCTTGCTCCCCTGGGACCGAGCCCTCCAACCCATTTAATCAAGCGACTTTGCCGGGAACAATTGACAATTTCAGATGACTGTTGAGATAATGAACGTAGCATTTCATTATTAAAATCTGATACTGTATTATTTAATACTAGGCATAAGGTTGCTAACTAAATCTGACTTGATTATTTGAATAATGAAAAAGAAAATTGGAAATAAGCAGTTACTCATCCTTGTACCCAGTAAAAATAGAATACAATATAAATAGAATAAAATTACAATTGGGTGCTTGCCCAATGGATTTGAAGTATGTGAAATAATTGTAATTTTTCATTTTAGACTGGTAACATGTATCCATTTTTCTTTAGTAGTAAAATTTATGGTAATTAATTGTTGAACTTTCATAATTGTAAGAATTAAATATGAGTAAAACAACCTTATCAAATTAAATTTTATGATACTTGTTATGATTACTGATAGTTTGCACAAACCTTCTTATTTAAAGGTTTCACACATACTTCTAATATAGACTTGTATTTCAGGCTAACAATATGGAGAATATTGTTCATGAATTGATGAATGAAACTGAGGATAAAGATATTTTACGAGAGGTACGAGTATTTCCACATTATTAGTTGAAAAAAAATTAATTAAATAGAACTCATGATAGTTTTGATATTGCTAGCCAACATCTTGTATGTTTTAGCCTATATCAAAACTCCAAAAAGTCTTAGAGCTAAATTAAATTGGTACGGTTAACTAAATACACACATTGAAGAAAACACATTTCTTTCATTTCACTTAATATTTTCCATTCCTCTTCAAGTATCACTAACAGAGAATTAGGCTTGAATGAGCAAGTTGCTATTCCATCATCAATGAGAAAGAACAGTTTTATATAAAAAAAATAAAAATGTATGTAAGGTTATTTGTACATACTGTATAAAAACCTATGGACAGTGAAAGAGACATTAATAGACCTCTTAATTGATTCCAATTCTGTCTACAGAAGTTGGACTTCTGCTGAACTAAAGGGAAGGGATGAGTAGACAACTTTTCTTTGTTAAATGAACAAAAATATACATTTTTTCACAACTGTTCTGATGAATTAGATTTTTAAAGATTGTATGTTTGAACATGAAATTCAAAGGAGGGAGGATAAGGACTCACTGCAGATATTTTTCTAAAAATACAAAAGCTAATTCTGACCATGGCAGAATTTTGTGTATACCACATTCTGTACTACATGAATGAAATTGATTATTTGTTTGTTCTAAAGTATTCAGCATCATCTTTACAAATTTCAAAAAACCCTTCAGAATATTTTCAGATCTGAATGAAGATAATTTAAATTAAATTCTAGAAAAACATCAATGTATCATCTGCATGGTTTTTTTGTCGAATTATGCTCTTGAACTTGAACTTGATTTCAGCTAGAGGACTTTTCATTGGAATTGATTCATGGAAAAGTCGTTTTCACAGCTTTTGACTGCTTTACAATTGATTACTCCTTATTCACTAAGGTAAGGCAAAGAAAATTGTTTGAAACTACCTAAAACACTTTTGTCTAGTTACACATTTTAGATAAGCTTAAAATATTCATCATGCTCATGCTGTGCTATCAGCATTGTCATATTTGACTTTTCCTCTCAAATTTGTTTAATGGAAATATTTTAGTGTTGAAAGTAATGTATACAAATATTATATTTTGTTATTCTTGTTACATGTTGTATGAATAAAATAATAGATAAACGGTATCAGCAATCTGATACATACTTTCTCCCATAAGCTCGCCAACAACCTTTATCATGGGTAAGCGGTGGGAGTAACTATGATACTGTTTTTTATAGGGAAAATCACAAAAATTGCGATAGCTTTTGAACTGTAATTGATACAGCAGGGGGTTTGAACTATTTTGTTTAGAATTATAAGGACCATAACACATTAATTTTAATCAAAACCAGCTTTTTTCCTAAAATCCAGTTTTTGTTAGTTTATGGGGTTTTATGGGAAAATAACATAAGTTACAATAAGTTTTGAACAGTAATTTTTACGGATATGGGATTTGGACCATTTTGTTCAGAATTTAAAGAACTATATAACATACTAATTTTAATCAAAATCGTTCAGGCCATTTTTGAGAAAATTCGACATTTCCGTTATTTTATGGGTTTGTTGGAAAACTTACCATTAAAAAACAAAATTTAGAAAAAATAAAAAAGCCTGAAGATACCATGGATTAGAACATACCAAATTTCATCAAAATCAGACTACAGGTGTGGTCTGTAGCTCTGTACACATCCACACACATAGACATCACTTCAAAAACCGCTTTTTTGCGTTCAGGTTCAGGGGATATATCCACTCAAAACTCAAACTCGAAAATTTTGACAAAAAGAATACTTTTTCCATATGGCATACTATGGATATGGGAGAAAGTAAAAAACTGAAACGATAATTTAACAAACAGTGTATTACTGATGGTTTCATCTTTATGTGTAACTATTGATAATACACACCAATAATTAATTATAATTATATTTTTCTAGATTATCGGAGCTGTGGCATCCTATGTTATCATATTTTTACAGTTTGGAAACTTTGATTATCAGCAAATTTTCAATGTCGAACGGAATGAAACTGCATCCTCTTAACTGAGCGAAGAGACTAATTTTATGGTGAAATCATTTGGATATTTTTTTGCCTTGTCACGTCTTAAAATTATAGAATGTAGAATATAAATTATAGAAATTTATAGAAATTATAGAATACCTAGTATTCCTTAAGTTGCTCCCATTCATAAAGTTTTAATTTTACATATTTGTTTATGTCCATCATAGTTTTTATTTCTTCTGTCTCAAAAACATGTTAAAACAATATCTACATCAGAAAAGTTTTTATAAAAAGATATTTTTTTTTTAGAATGAAAATCTTAAATGTAAGCATAGGTTGATATGCACATAAAATTAAATGTCTTTATAAGAAGAATATAATGCCACACATTTGAGCTCAAAAGAACAACTGAATATAACATGGCAGCTGTTCAAAGATTAAAGATCAAGAAATATTTGAACGGCTGCCATTTTTGACTCGGTTGTCCGTTTAAGTTCAAATTTGGGACATTGTATTCTACTAATAAAGAGCTTCAATTTAATGTGCAAATCAACCGATGCTTACATTTAAAATTTTCTTCTGACTCCTAGTGGGCCGTCCCCCTGAAGAGGTAGTGTATCACTGAATCATGTATTAAAATGATGTTAATGCCCAGTAACTATATGTACCAAGTTTTTTAAAGCTCTATCTTTATTACTTTTTGAAATATTTAACCGTCCTGGGACTTCGTTTCCACCCTGTATATACACACATTGAATAATACACATTACGTTCCATCTGAGAAACACTCTTACTTTCCATGCGTCATCATCAAACTTTCTCCAGGATTTTCTTGAGCTCACAATTGTGAACACAAAGCGTTGAAATGTGTGAATCCAACTGAGCTTAAAAATATGGAGTCTTCTGCAATTTAGCTAATTAAGATATAATAGTTTTTTTTTACAAAATAGATTTTTATTGTGTCAGAGAAAAATAAATGTTGTAAAATTCTCTATTCTTTCCTTCTCTCAATTTAGAGATGTGCTGCAATCCTTAAAAATACAGAAAACGAAAAATATAAAGTTTTAATTCATTATTTGAATACATTTTTTGTAACCAAACTGTAATAATTAATATAATAAGGTATCATCATCAATACCAGTAAAAAATAAACCAGGGATCTGGTTTTCATAAATGCTAAGTACTTAAAAAAAGCAAATTAAAAACATTTATTGGTATATATTTTTGTTGGGGTGAAACCATACCATGGAAGATTTTATCATGGGAGATTCCATGTACAAAATCCACGGTTGACGTTACTGGACATAGACGTGCTCCACCCATCAAGATTCCTATGAACCCATTTCCTTACTTAAATTTTGTTTTGTCTACTCTACATCAGAGACATCAGATCCAAAACAAAACAATATCATAATAATAAGCTTTAAAAACACAAGTCAGTGGGTGTATTTTGAAAGCGGCTTGCTGGCACTTTTCAAACTAAATAGAGAAAAAGGAACAACATTTTAGAACGATATCAGGTTAGTTAAAACATACTATTTATTATTCAACAATTATTTCATGAATGCATGTATGATTGTTATTGCTAACATATAGGGTATCTTGATTTATTGTAAACAAATAACAAACTAAATAACAAAAAGGCTAAGTAAAAACTACAAAGTTCTAAAAAGCAATGAAACAACATTTGAGGGAATCAATGTTTTCTAATTTATTTGCTTTACACAATACTGGACATATGTCTGGATGTATTTAATTAAATGTTACAAAAACTAAAAAGAAAAGCACATCTTTAGAAACAGATTGGACATTTGTACCACAAAGCTATTTTCAATGTTGGGAATTGCAGCGTTGGTTGTGGTTGCATATTGCCTATAGACAAGTTGTTTGACAATATAGCCGCAGTGGTGAAGCATAGACATTGCCTCAACTCAACACTCTTATGTGCCAAACACAAAATGTGCCCTGTTCAAAACATGTGAACAATTTTACAATCCATGATGAATTCTTAAATATAACCAAGGTTTCAATCAGTCTTACCCTGAATAAAATAAGGATTGATAAAAAATAATATTAATTTATAATAACAAAATAAGAATAAAATACCTTAACACTAGATAGTATATCTCGTTAAGTACATCAATAAATTGACAATACTGTACAGTATCATTCAAACAACCAATCTTCTAGAGTTAATTACATTTAACAAATTACAATACATTTTATTGCAGTTTAACGAATTGTGAAGTATTACTAATTGACTTTGGAACGGTAACATTGTTTAAATACACAAATTGTCACGTTAAGAAATTAAAAAAGGGCTTTTGAGAAAAGAAAGATTTTTAGGTAGAGCCTTAAACAGAAGAAAATTTGACTCATTATAAAAACATGAAAATTAAGTTAACCATGAATCTACCTTCTAAAAGGTTTTGACAATCATATAGTAAAGAAGACAAAGCATACTAGATTTCTTTTATATAGACATAGGCCTACTTTAAGTTGTTGGTATTTTATCTAACCCCAAACGAGTAGTGGGAGAATTACACTGAAGTGGAGCCTCAGTTACGCTTCCAATAAAATTTAATGGACAAAATGACAAACTATTTTAGATAAACTTTCACCATACTTAGCACTATCACTTACCATGAAAGCAATAAAAATTCCTTTATAAGCTGTAGTTAATTAATTTTGTTGATCATGAACATGGGCTGCTTTTACAAAAAAGGTGGCAACTTGAAACGTTCTTATGTGGACCATTGTAGTCTATTTATCAATGGCCTCTTCTAACGTTAAAGAATATGGCCTAAGAAAAGCTTGTAATCAAGAGATATGCCTGTAAATAAGTTGTGTAGATATGTGGAAGACTATACACTAAGGATTGACTGATCATTGAGCACTACAGGTTTGTTTATATACATAATATACAGATATCTTGGTATTCAATGTAAGGTTATCATGAACAATCTAACTTAGCTAAACCCATGTTAATATACAATGTTTTGAAATATTGCAATATGATTAGACAATTTTAAACAACGTGCACATATAATAAGTGCTCAATTGAAATACTAAAATCCATGTAAAAGCTCGTTGGTACTAATATTTTGTTGATGGTCTCAAAAGCTATAACATTCTAATTTGTTTCTAAGCTATCTTTATTAGGTGTAACTTACCTTTTCACAAAACAACATTACTGTACGGTTTAAATGGTGAAGTGTAAAACCTTTTCAACCGAGTACATTGGTAGGAGATAACTGGAGATCATTATATAGGTACATAACCGTAGGTATATAAACCGGATAATAACCGATGAGTGACAAAAAAGGTTGATGCAGTACGTTTAATAAAAAAAATGAAAAAAATGTTTTGGTTTGAACTGTCTACCCTATTTTCTCAAAACAATAACCGCATAAATTAACATTATACATGTATGTAATTTAAAAATGCATCACAAACATTTATTGATTAGACTTTTATTTGTTTCAATATTCTAAAATATAAATCAAACAAGCTTTTCCATCATACAAATTTTTTATTAATTTTAAGTGTTTTTGTCTATCAATAAGTGTGTCCCTCCAAGCCCATCCCTAAAACTATTTTCCAAAAACTGAATAAAAAACTTAACATTTTAAAGGAACACATCATCAGTTTAAAATGTTGAAATGCTAGATTAAAATGTTATTGGGTAAGAAGAAACTCAATAACACAGATTTGTGTTATAAAATAAAGTTGACATTCCAGAGAATAATATAGTTTGTAAATTCTGGGAATAATCAAAGAAAATAACTAATAAAAACAAAAACCTAAAATTTGCTTCACTTAACAATAATAATGGTTACAACGTGATAAATTTCAACTACTCATCGACTAACATGAATTGAAAGCAAGTGTCAAATTCACTAATGCAGACAACCATCTTATAAAACAAAGAGCTTTCACAACAGTCATATACACACAACTCAACTAAGTAAAACTATTAAGACAACAACATTTAGTCTCAAATAAAATATGTATTATTCCACGAATATTAGAACAGAAACTGGTATGGATCATAGACATAAACAACTATTTTTAACTCGCTCAAATCCTATACCAATAACATCAGGTAGGTTTAGACAGTTACATTTAAGGATTGTTAAATAATAAAATAATGTTTACTTTCTGGCCAATAACATAATATGTTAATGTTTATGATCCACAGCAAGTATTCGTGGTACATTCTATCATTCTATCAATGTTTCACAACATCTACATATATACTATTAAAAACTCTTATTGGAATAGACAACAATATTCATTCTTCAAAAATAAAACCTATATCTATAATTCTTACTATTTGAGTAAATATTATAAAATCAATCATATCTTAACAATGCATAATTTTAAACATTCTTATCACTATGAACACTACTAGGAGTGGAATGTAGCTATTGCGATGTTACGAGTTGGGGACGAAGATGACGACAATGTTGCCATCCTGGAGGGAGACAAGGAGATGAGAGTTTCCCGGAGTGACCACTACATCCTGGATGGGGATGTGGAGGGGGATGTCAAACACTGGATACAGCCTGGAGAAAAACATCCGGAAATTACTTGTTATAAAAAATGGTGACATTTGAACTGTGTATCGATCCATACATGCATTTGGGACCACTTAACAAAAAAGTAGAATCTGAACAATAATGACAAAAAATCTCAATGAATATTATTTTATTTTTTTATAATTTATGTAAAATTCTGACTTTTAAACATTTTTGTATTTTGTACCAACAAAAAACCCGAGATGCTGGGACGTGTGCCACTGCACCATTCACTCTTGCCTAAGGCTGACTCTGTACCTAAATAATATATAAAATGAATAATTCTACTATATACAGTAACTCACACACACACCATGAATATTTGGAGTGGTTCTTTTACAAAAAGAAAATCCTGGATAGTTAAAATCGAAAACCCCTAAGGAAATCCTGTCTGATAACTTTTTAAACTAAACTCTTTTAACTTTTAATACTTTACCAATTTTTCTTTTAAATTTATACTTTTCACTAATATTTTAAACGATTTTCAATGGCCAATCACATAAATTGTCTTTTGATATTGTTAGTAATTGTTATTCTAAAACCTTGTAATATTTTAATATTTTTATATTAACCATAGCCGAACATGTTTTTACATGTTTAAATAAACACTCTGCGTTTGCTGCAAAGTGAACAATAGAGCAGTGTAGATCTCCCACTCCAATAGAGGTAATTTTGTGCATTGGCAAAGAAGCAAAGATCTTTACTAAGCTTTTTGATTAGGAGAGGCTCTAGGATTGTGATCTTTAGGTACAGTAGTAAGCTTACCTTAGAAAAAGTCTAGGTAGGAAATAGTACACACAGAAGACATCAAAACTTACTAGTATAGGCCTTACCAGTAAAATAACTTATGTACTTAAAATATCCTTTAACATGAAAATATATATTTTTGAAAATACCAATAAATAGTGTCATTGTTAGCCCTCTCTTGTTTGCACTTAACGTCATTCTGGGAACGAAATATTAATTTTTTTTTTGTGTGAACTATGGCCTGCCTACTTGTTCTAAGGTAAGCAAGCTGATATCCCTTTATTTAAAAAGTCACAATCATGTTTGTCCAGTTAGAAGGCTATCATACCCGAGCAGTCTACTCATGGTGAGGTCGCCAGCATCGTCCACCACCACCAGACAATCCCCTGCAGTGGCAAGACCAGTGACTCTCCCAGCCACGTACTTGGAGCCAACCGACTCTCCGTTCACCGAGAACACGTGGACTGAGTGGTTTGTCTGGAACAAAAGTAGGGATGGCTTAGCTCAGAGCAAACTATAAATATTGATAGGGTAATGAGATATTTCTATACTTCACTAATGGTAAGACAAAGTCTTGAGAGTTGGCAGGGCCGCCGGTCATCTTGGATTTTCTGTCCATAACGGCAATGTTAATGGTTGAAGCATTTTACGGCATTGTTTATTAAGTTAAAAAGTTGCAAAATATCTAATTTTAAATAAAGCAATTGAAACCGCAGATGTGATTTGCTATCTACTTTTTGATTCTAATTGTTATTATTTTGTCAAACTACATAAATATATTAACTAAAACTGTGATTTTTTCAACCCCTAAAACAAAAGTTTTAAAAATCAGAAAAGCAATTAACACGGAAAATATATTTAAGAATCACATAATATTTCCTGCTTGATAATTAAGCTTACGGTGCATGATTAATATGCTTCAACGTGAAGTCATGTTTTTGCTGATCGGTGCTAGGACAACCACTGTTTAGCCTGGCATCTGACGGTCAAAAATAATGCAAAAAACTATTGACTCCTGCCGACTCTTAAGCACTGCGAGTAATTTCACGGCAACTGTATTTTATGAGGAAACACTAGCTTACAACGGAATGGTGGGGATATGAGGGAGGTATTTACTACTTAGGGAGGGGTTACGTAGATGATAAAGGATCTGAGGGAAATATAAACTCTGACTTAGAATAACTGATGACTGATAAAGAATCAGCTTTCCAAAGGAATTAAGATACTGTATTGATTCATCTTAATTGGTTCAACCTATATTCAAACCGTTATCTCAAAAGTCAAAACATTATTCCCTTTAAACATTTTGATTTTAAGTTAAAGAAATGAGGAATCAAAATGCTGAAACCACTGGAATCTTATCAAGTACCATGAGACATTTTTACTCAAAAGTTGTACATATATTTACCGTAGAGTTAGCAGCAAAAGCGACATGACCTTGGGCAGAGATAGCGAGGTAGGTGATCTCCGTGGAAACTCCCAGGTCACAACCAGCTGGATACAATGTACGGAGGTACTGGCCTTCGTGGATACTGTGGATGTTCACTGTGCCATCCTAGCCACAGAGACATTCAATGGTGTGAGTTTGACTTATATACTAGTGTAGTAACGATTTTGTTTCCACCAATAACAACGAAAATGAAGAGTTAACGATGAAAGAGAGTATTTTAATATAGTGTCTGCACTCTGCAGTAGCTGCCACCTGCCAAACTAAAATCAGGCATTGTAACTTTACCAAGTTTTCCCAGGGATTATTTATGTGAAATGTAAAGACATAATGCAACATTTCTGCTACAGCAGAAAATTGGCGACATTTAACTATCTGTATAAATAAAAATGAATCTCTTTTTTTTATGGTATTCCATAACTCATGAACGAGTGCACAGAATTGGATGATTCTTATTTTGTTGTCTTTCTTATTGCCAGGGGAAGGTTCTTATGTAAAGAAATTTATAATCCATCCAACCATTATTTGGTAATTTGATTTTAAACATTAAAAAAATTCCTTCACATTAGCATTGGAGGAAAATGTTTTCATTAGATTGTGTGATACAATAATCCAACTAAAAGGTGAGTGAGCGTAGCGAACGAGCTAAACCTGAAGGTGAGTGAGCGCAGGGAACGAGCTCATCTTGAAAATGAATGAGCATTTGACATAAAACCACATTAGGACAGGACAACATCTGTTGGGCCAGCTAGTATCAAATAAACTAAAATATAATGTACATATTACTAGACTATTAAATGTTGTCAGCTGACAAAAGATATTGTTTTGTTCTTGTTGATTTTGCACAGTTCAACCACCCTCCTAATTCAAGCCTGGCTTTTCTACTCAAATTATCAACAACAACAAAAATGAACAAAGATTAAAAATATCTATTGTTCAGACAGTTCATTTACAAAATAAAAAAATGTACAATGTGTAATGATGTAATGGGGTTACATTGCAAAATTATGTGGGTTTTCGGAAACATTCCATACCTAACAAAAATATTGGGGGTTTTCCTGATCAAGTCTTACCTTCGACCCAGAAGCAACCAAATCGAGCTCGGTGGCGATGGCGACGGTGGTGACTGGCTGGTCGTGTCCGTAGAGTGTTTGAACTGGTCGCAGAGGTGCAGAGCTAAGATGGCTGATGTCCCATACCACCACAGTGCAGTCCTGAGAGCCACTGGCTAGGTACCAGCTGCACTGGTCCAGAGCCACACATGTTACCAAATCTGTGAATAGTGAAAGATGTTGTACATTTTATGAAATAAATGGAGAAAACAGTAAATTGTACACTTTAAAGAGACTCATTATTGGTGAACTGTATGTTTCCACAACAGTGTAAAATCCTTGAGCATTCACTTGAGCTCCAGAATGGCCCTATGACTATAGGAGACCAACATTGAGTTCAATAAAATCTGTTGCCATAATGCTAACACATTTAAGTAATAAGAATTATTAAGCTTTTGCACCTATGGTTCAGTCTAGGTCTCTTTGGGGCATGCCGTGAAATGAATTTCAACTTTTGACCTTCTATTCAAGGAATTAGGGGGTTTAATGTTAAACCAATCAACTCCTAACATCCAAACACCACAACCACCCCAACCAACCAGATTATCTGTGCATTTCCCAAGTGCTGGAAGTGTTTGGTAATGGAGATTAACCTCTTGTTCTTGAGGGTAGGAGAATTTACATCATCAAAATGATCATTTTTCAGGTAATTTCTCACAATAAATTATATCAATTATTCAAAATGGCTTCTTATTCGACCAACTTCTTGTTTTTGGCAAGGTTGTATGTTCTCAACACATTTCCAAGCGCCACTACTCACCAAAGTGCCTGATGACGGAGACCAAAGTCTTGTTCTTGGTGAGACTGTACACCCTGACACTGCAGTCCCAATGTCCAGCAGTTATCAGCATCTTACCATCATGGGACACGCAGAACAGCTGACTGTTTGGACTGATGCTAGGATGGAATGAGTCGGATACACTACGACGAGTCCTGCCATTCACAGTGATTATTAAAACACTTTACAGTAATATCAGAATGATATCAATTAAGATGGTACTTCATCGGTAACGGTAACATACAGTTAACTACACAACTGTGCAAGAGATAAAGTTTGATGTTTGGTTTGACTAGCATAAAATATGACTCATTCTTGGAAATTATTCTAAATAGTAATATAGTATACACGCTGTTCAAACGGATCAGTAGTTGTTTTATAATACAAATTAACTAAGATAAAACTCCTGGAAAAATCATTGAACAACAACAATATAAGTTTGCTCCTGAAATAGACTGATGCTATATTGTTTCCAAGTAGGAAATGAAAAATGCAAATTTTTTCATGTTTCTAGGTTCCCTTGCTCAAAAAGCTGGTTGACATGCCTTGACGTCCTCACCTATCAATCGATGTAAGTTTCCTTTCTAGTTATTTTTAGGCATAGTTAAAAACTATATTTAGGTTTCTCTAGTTATTAACTTGAATTTTTGCTTTAATATATATCTTACTTTTTTGCTTAATTATTGTAAGATAGTATGGACTATTATGCTAGATAAGTGTAGGATGAGTGGCGTGATCTTGTAGTCTTGTTAGTGACTAAGGCCGACATGTTCCTTAGACACAGCTGTTAATTAATAGCCCATACAGCTAATGGCAACTAAGGGACCTACAGTTAATAGTGGAATCCGAACCACATTTTTTCCTTGTAATTAACAAATTGGTCTAATTATCAGGATAGTACTGCGGATAGTCATAGTACTCACTAGTGCGGACGTTAATCCACACTAGGGAGCATCGCATCCACCTTGCGTGCCTATAAATATCCACAATTCGTATAAAAGGAGGGACATAACCGTATCTATATAATTATTATAGATATTTTTTAGGTTACTATAAATAAAATTATGCTTAGAACATAATAAACTCTTTAATTTTATATTACCCTCATACATGAGCCCAAAACGTTTAATTTGAGACATAAATAAGGTCTTTCGGACAATTACTTCAAAAGATACAGCAAGAAATCTAAATTTCCAAGATGACGGGCAGTTTTTTCAAAATGGCGGCCGTTCCCCAACTGGGATTTCTTGGGACTTAGTGTGGGCCACTCAGGACATTGTTTTGAACATTTCCACCAATTTTCAGCCTGTTATCAATTTTGTCCGGGTCATAACCTAATTGCACTGGACTAAATAGCAATTATCTTGCAACTGTACTCACTTTGGATGTGCCATGGTTGGGTCGGTGTCGAAGGTGAAGCCTCGATTATTATACCTATCGTAAGGTAGCCACGAGTGAACCCCCACCACTCCTCCACGGGTGACAGTCACCAGACAGTCTGGCAGTGCTGTCTGTAGGAACCCTCGTGGCGGGGAGCGGGGGCCACTGACAAACACTACGGGGTCTTTGTCATTGGACACCTACAGAAACAAATAATAAAATGGTACAGTAATGAGTTTAATAAACAATTTAAAGATATTAAAAATTGTGTTAGAACATGTTCAAAAAAACTTCAACCCAAAGCAAAAAGTCAACCAAAAATTCATTTTAAGAACATAGGCTATTGATAGACAGATTTTTGGCATAAGAAAATGAAACCAACCCATAATTTGCATATTTCTACATTTGTTCACATCAAACATACATTGACTATCAATCCATTTCTCAGGCAGTATGGGACTGTCATCAGGCCATGAAAGCTCTGGAAGAAAACAAGAATGTTATCCTTAGTTGGGTTCCAGGGCACAAAGGTATTGCTGGCAATGAGGGAGCTGACAAGTGGGCAAGGTGCTGAAAGCCCGCTCATGGATCCAGAGCCAACGTGTGGTATTGCTTACAACACAGCACGCAGAGCTGTTCACCAAGAACATTGAAGGAGCTGAGAAAGAACAGAGGGCAACATACAGTCAAAGAGAATGCTGCAGACACCTACCGGTCCGATAGTGGCAGATGCCCTTGGGCTGAATAGGAAGACCCTGCGGAAAGTTGTTGGCTTCATCAGCGGCCACTGGGTATTCCGCAGACATCCATACAAGATGGGAATTCAAGTTGAAAGCCTCTTTTCTAGAAAATGTTGTGATGAGGAGGAGTCAGCCTTCCACGTTAAATTTATGTGCCCAGCCTTTGGCTTATTGACGGGAGATTAAAGGGAAGAACAGGTAACCATAGTCAAAAGGATCTCATGGGTCACTAAGAACCTGTGGTTTGACGGAAAATGAGGACCTGTGAATGAGGGTGCACAATAAGCTGATTCAGCTGCGATGCAATCCTGTGGTCTACCATAAACCTGACCCTCTGTTAAAAAAAATGATTCATTTCTCACCTCAACAGTGATGGGGGTCAGTTTGTTGAGGAACATGGTGATGTCAGGTTTACGTTCACTCTTCAGCATCTTGGCAAGTGCTTCAGAACTGCTGAGTCTCTGAGGGTGTGGCTCCTTTAGCAGCTGACTCGGTGTCTGTCCGAAGTTGTTGATCATCCCTTCCACAGCCTCCCGCTCCACAGGGTTGGTGATAGCGTCTAGGTCCACAGCACCCTCATAGCTATGGTGGAAAACACTTTTTTACACATTTGTTATTCTCACATTTTTTATCTAAATATACAGTCCCATCTTCAATCTACTCTCTGAAGAAATATCAGTGTGTACTTTGGTGATATTTTCTTGTCTATAAGGATTCTCTGGACTCAATTTTTTCAGTTAAGCTAGCTAAAAGCTTTTCAAAACAATACACAAACATAAATACGTTAGAAGTTTTATAACCAGTATTCTCCACAAATTTATTAAGATTTTTCAATTGTAATGTACCAGATATTAAACGTAAATAATGAGTAGCCTCTGGCCTAGTGTGCAAGTCATAAATAGTGTACCTTTGCATTTGTAGCAAAAAAACAATATTTTTACGTTTTTTGTAAGGGAACAGTCCAAACTCTAGTCTCGGGTCTCGTTAGATAGTATTATTAAATGGAAGCCTGGACGGCATCTCAATGGAATTGAACATTTGATCTTAAGATGTGAAGGTGAGCAGTAGTGGCCTATTAAATGTGCCTGTTAAACTTTGCCTCTAAAAATTCTAATTTGTTATTCATTTGAAATATTTCTTGAAATTTTTTTTTTATTAGTCTGATAAATAGACAAAAATGAAGACAACTATCTGGTAAGCTGGGAGAGTGTAGTGTAGTCTCCAGATACTCACCGTAAATAAACTAAGACCGAAGCCAAAATATATTTCAAAACCAAGAGGAATAGGATTCTAGTTGTGATTTTACCTGCAGTAGTAAAAGACATTAAGGGCTTCGACAGCCTTTGGACCCTTCTGCTTGCAGCCAAATATCAGGTCTATCCACTCATGTAGGTGAGCAGACACATGTTCTGATTCCTACAACACAAAGACACTCGGTTATGGCGCTGATCAAATAAAATATGATGATTACAGACAGGGCCGGTTCTAGACATTTTCCTATTATAAGTAAACAACATACTGGCGCCCCAATCACGGAGGGCCGCAAGGAACAGAGGGAGGCGGCATTTTTGTACTACAAGAATTCTTTAGATCAGCCAGTTTATGTAGTGTAGATCAATATCCTACCTACAGTCTACTTTGACCGTGGAATCTTACTTACTAGTTACCAAAACCTATGTATTGGCAATAAGTAATTTTGATAATATAATTTTTTTTTATTAAAATAATTTTAAATACAGTAATACACATATATTTTTACCCTTGCATTATCCAAATTTACACACAAAATTCATCTACCAATATGCTCCAAATAAATGTACAAAGGAGTAGTTGAAGTTGTAAAAATATTATTGGTGATAGTGCGTTGATTCTCAAAATTAAATGAATTTGTTACCAAGGCTTTTCGATGTTTATAGATGAAATCTTCTGCGCTTGAAGCCCACTTAGGCAGATCCACATCATTGACCCGATCTTTTGTGCCTTGCAGCAGTCCGAGGTCAAATCTGTAAAAAGAATGATGTCGGTAGCAGAAAAGTACACATAAAGCTACCCTCTGAAAATTTTCTACAGCCTGTATAATCTTATTGGTTTCATGTTATAAAGACCTGTAAGAATACTCAATGTAAGGAAATGAGAGGCACAAATTACTCTTGGACTCCGTGTCATATGCAACCTGCTGGCCTGATCAGTTTTATACAAGGATAAACCGTTCTCAAAATATATTTTCTGTTCATCATCTATGGATTCAGAGAAGTAAGAAAAGGCTTTATCAATTTATTTTCTAGCTATGAAATAAAACTAGTAAGCCCAGTAAAACAGTCTATGGTAAAACCTTGCATCAACAGATGTTATTTTATCTGCATTAAATCATAAGAATAAATATTTTATACAATCATATAAGTCTGCTTTAAGTCTAAAACATGAATGTGCACTCACTGGTTTAAATTTTTCAGGAATTCAGGAAAATAGAAGAATTCTGGGATTAGTTCCTTGACATCGTTGGGATTGTCCATGAGTAGCTTCCACGTCTGAGGAATGGAATGAAACTGGCGGTCGGCTACGTCAAAGCGTCCGCTCTGCAACTCTATGTGGAGTGAGGCGAAGGGCTCCACTCTAACCAGATAGTGAAGCACTCCAGCGGAGTTAGAGTAGTGTGTGCCATAGTGGAACTTGGCTATAGTACCTGGAATTCAAAGTACTCCATGTTAAATGAAAAATTGTGTGTTGCGATTTTGTCTTGATTTGCTTATAAGATCAGTGCCTAGAGGATTCCCGTATATGTGACTGAGAATGGAATAACCAATCAGCTGTTTGGTAAAACAAGGATATTTTTGGATGAGTTTAGGGTAAATGGCAAACCAGTCTAGTGAGGCGTGTTGTATGATTGAAGTTACTCAGTTAAGTTTTGTTTTGTTTTGGGTGTAAACCTAAACCAAACAAAATCACTATAATTGCAAATTTTTGATGGAAGCTTAGCTGACTGATTAATCATATTGTTTTTTCTTTTCTTTTTTTCTGAAATATGTACAATGTATACTAAACTAAGAGGGACCAGTGGATTAGGAGAAAGTTGGCAACTCAACCAAGCTTGTCATTCTCTTGAACTATTTAACAAGGGAATAAATGGATTTAAATTTACCAGATGGATCCTCAAATGAGTCGTATTTCATCTTGACATCAGCCTCGTTGCGGGGGTTGACCACCCCGATAGGTTTCGAGAGATCTCTGAATGTGTCAGGATTGTTGAGATCAAGTTCTTCAGAGGTGTAGTCAGCAATGATCCAAGGGAACACTGGATATTGGGACAGGTCGTTGTAGGTGCGGCCTGCGATTGTGTTCAGCTAGAAACGATATTTGGTATTCAAACCTGACAGTATAGAAGACAAAGAAAGGTGTTGCAAAGCTTCAACTATAATTTTTGAATTTTCTTGAGCTTGTAAAATTTAGTAATGGTACCAATAAATTTATTTTTTGTCATACTGCAGCAAAAAGAGCCGGTTTTAATTGAGGGTCTAAAGTAGGATTTTTACTCTCTGGGGAGTAAAAAGCGTTTTTATCCCCTAGGGAGTAAAAATAAGCTGTCAGTATTTATACATGCTCTATAACTTGCAAAACGTGGCACAACCAACAAACTTATGGACTTAAAACCAATGTAAATAAATGCTAATGTTTCATACAACTTAGGATCTTTTTATTTTTTTTTAGTACCGGTTACAATATCTCATATACTGTATACACACCTGCATGAGGTACTCAAAGTTTGTTATCTCGTGATTCACCCATTTCTGAGTTAAGCCTGAGGCCCTGAGAAGGTCAGCAGGAGACCGGCTGCTGTTGTAGGCCAAGTTGGGAGGCCTTAGGCCTAACAGTCGACTGACCACTCTGTTACGAGTCTGCAAAATATATAAATTTACACTTTTAACACAGAATAACAAAAATTTAAGCCAAAATATGAGTTAAACTCCCTAACTAATGGCAAAGTTTGTTTAAAGTCAGGGTTTGAAAATCTCTAAACATAAACGTTGAGAGTATTTATTTTTGTGTAGTCCTAATGCACTACACATTTATTTACACATTTTATTTTTGTGTCTTTATATAATGTTTTTTGTGAATATAGAACACATAGGGTAGAATCTTCATAAATTGATGCCACTTACCTTCGTTGTAAAATTTAGGAAGTAATTTGTTTGATCTATCAGAAAAATCTCCAGAGCACTTCTCCTGAGGTTGTATCTCCGTAGATAGATTTCCCTTAAACTTGGCAGAGGCCACTGAAAGATAGGATTTTATGTTGTTATATAGAGTATCAATTTTTACCCAAATACACATCTCCTAAAAAGTATGCGTCTCTTACTATAGTTATTTATTTTATATTTCATACAAGGAGAATTTTAGAACACCTTTGAGAGTGTATGCTGCTTTAGGCTTTAAAAGCACTCTTGGTAAAAAAAGCTCCCTATTTTCACTACAGTATGTCTCCAATTTTAAGATTAATTTTACAAGTCCATTAAGAAGGTGTTTTATATGGTAGTAGAATCATTAAATGTGGGGGACATAAACCTTCAAGGAATCTATAGAGACAATAAAGTTAAAGTTAGCCACATATATGAGATTCTTCATATTTTTAATGCATCTTTGAAATTCAATATTAACACTGGAAAATGATATTATAGTACTGGCTGTAGCAGCAATATAAGGAACTTTGAAACAAAAATCGCAACATAAGGAAATCTGATTACAGTACCTTAAAGTCCTGTCTATCTAAATCGTCTTTGACCGGACTGAGATCATGGAAGTAAACGTGTGTAGTGGTTATGTCAAACCTTCCTTTGACTGCACTCATCAGTGTGACAAGATGACACTCCTGTGACAACACCAGCTTCTCCTTGCCATCAGTCCCACCATCAATCCTGTGTCACAGATAAGTGGTTAGTAGTGACTACGGTTGATGTAATTAAAAACTAGGTGAACTAACTTTCCTGGCTGACCATAGTTAGTTTTTTTTATTTGATCCATCCCTAGTTACAAGGCCACACTTTTGCAACTCCAAATTTTAACAACTATGCTTTTACGTGAATAGACATTTACTTTGGACATACAGCTCTACTATGCTATACTGAACTTTATCAAGTTTTACAGTCAACTACAAGTCAAATACTCAAGACTCAAGAACAAATAATGAATCAGTATAATTGAACGATTGCAAGATATGAATTTATCCAAGGTACTATGACATTTTTCATAGTGGCTTAGAATCAAATTTCCAAATTTCTAGGCAGTCTTAATAGTCCAGGCGCTAAACAGGTTGAGTATGCACTGAAAGTCTGACAAAATTTGACTTTTGATTATTGTTGGGGACATCTAGTGGATGAAAAAAATCGATGATGTCGCATTTCTAGGGTGGTCACAACTCGGGGGGAGGGGGGGAAGTTGCGCGGGTCATCGGTTTACGTTTCCGCGTCTAACTCACAAACGGTTAATGATAGAAAGGTGAATTAAGCGTCTATCTACGCCTAAATATATTGTCCTTCAAAAAGGTTATTACAACCTTTCTTCTATCTCTTATACTTTAGGCGCTAATCAACATTTATTGCCAAAAATAAAATTTAAAAATACTTTAAAATGGAATATCGGAAATATTGCGCTTGTTTAGGGCATGTTACAAAAAATTTATGGTTAGAAAAACTAACAAGTAGTACAACAGCACCAAGTTTAAATAAATGTGTGCAAAAACAACAGAGCTACGTTGATTTCAGTAAGAGTAAACGTGGAAAATTCGTAGTAGTATCGAGGCGCGCATGGATGGTACGTAGCCCACAGTCAAAATAGGTTTGATGTTGTAAGTAACTATGGGAAAGCTGAATTTTTCTATGCTGTTAGACCATGTTGAGATGATCATTTTCCCAAAAGTCCCCACTCCTACCCCTTTGTGCTTTCCTCTACCCCCCCCCCCCTTTTAGATAAATTTACAGTCTCTTAGAAATTAAGCTATAACTTTAAAACGGGTAAGGATAGTAACGCAATCTTTAATTAATCATTTTGCGTTACGATACTCTACAAAAAGTGTTTACCATGGTATCCTAAATATTCATAGTTAAAAATTTCATAAAGATAAAAAAGTAATTTTTATGGATTAATTTATGAAACTTTTCTTTGTAGATTTTTTATACGAGGTCGCACAACAAAATGTTTGATACAAAATTTGGGGTGCATAGTTTATATTTTAAAATTATACATAGTTATTAACAGTTTGTTTGCATATAGTGGTTATAGATAGTACAGTATATTGATTTTACAGGACTCTGGCTTTTTTGTGCACTGCAACAATGAAAAAAATTACGTATATTATGGTTTTTGTATTTGAATTTGCCGCTTTATATAAATTATATTAACGTTATGTAGCTCATTCAGTACATATACAGACTATAGTGGCTACATATGAATGAATATCGTGCATTTGCTGCTGTACGCCAGAGCCTCATTTTATTATACAGGGTGTCTCACCTAAAGTGAACCAATAGATAACTTTTTTATTATGAGATATAGAGTTAACTTCTTATGAGACACTACCCTTTATTTTAAAATTTTTTTTAGTGGTTTTGAATTTTAAAAATATGTTCGCCATTTTCCAATATGGCTGACAACTTTGTTAGTCCTATGGAATACCCTGTATTTTATGATTGTTTTAGAATGTAAACGCTAAATTTTTCAACCTTTTTATTCTTGACATTTTTCTCTAAAGCTACTTGTTTAGGAGTTACATCGAAGAAGAAATGGTTTGTGAGTACATCCTGCATCCTGTAGCTCATAAACGAGTAAGTTTAAGAGCGAAAATACAAAGAATAAACAAGTTTTCAAATCACATCTACATAAAAAAACCATAAAATAAATTGTTCCAATATCAAAGTAAGCTACCATTTTTGAAAATGGTGACCATTTTTAAAACAACAAAATCAGTATTTTTTAACGTATTTTATATATTTTTTTGAGTTGGTGGCCATATTGGAAAATGGTGGATATATTTTTTTTATTCGTAATCATCCCTAAAAACATTTTTTACAAATAAAGGGGGTCGTCTAATAAAAAGTTAACTCTAAAATAAAATTTATGTATGTTCAATCTCAACCGGGATGAAACGTCTACCCTTTTATAGCAGAATGTCCAACAAGCATAGCAGTATATAACAAGTATAGCAGATACGTCAATTTTGGTCCAACAAGTTATATTTAAATGAATATGAGTTTTTTTGAATTTTTAAATGGCAAAGATTGGCGAGCACTTGGAAATTATCTTAAAGAGGCGTGGAGTAAAGGGTGGGAATTGATAATGGAGTATTAAATTATTAAATTTAAGAATTGAGATATCAATACAAAAATGGGAAAAATCTATGTAATTTAAAAAATTTATAAAATATTGTTTGTTAAGTATCTATCAAAGTAAATTATAAAAGTAGGTAACAGGTTTGTTTTATGAATTATTAACTGTTTGTAGGAAAAATTCAGATTCTCAGTAGGCTACATTTAAATTTTATTATTCATTCAATTGTTATCTGATCTTTATTAGTATGTAGTGCTATTTGTGTATATTCTGTATTTGAAATCAGTTTATTTTTTGAATAATTGTATGTGATTCATGGATTTTTTTAAAACTGTTTTAAAATATTTTAAAATCAGTGTGTCTAACACAGACGCTCTTTGACCATTGTTCTTTGCATTAAAAAAGAATAAAAAAAAATAAAAAACACTATTGATATTTTATTACAATGAACAAATTTTCTACTTCTTCAGAAATCCATAATAATTCTTTTTAAATATTTATTTATCTCACAATTCTTTTTGTAGATTATCGTAACGCAAAATGATTAATAAAAGATTGCATTATTATCCTTACCCGTTTTAAAGTTATATGTACTGAATGAGCTACATAACGTTAATATAATCTATATAAAGCGGCAAATTCAAATACAAAAACCATAATATACGTAATTTTTTTCATTGTTGCGGTGCACAAAAAAGCCAGAGTCCTGTAAAATCAATATACTGTACTATCTATAACCACTATATGCAAACAAACTGTTAATAACTATGTATAATTTTAAAATATAAACTATGCACCCCAAATTTTGTATCAAACATTTTGTTGTGCGACCTCGTATAAAAAATCTACAAAGAAAAGTTTCATAAATTAATCCATAAAAATTACTTTTTTATCTTTATGAAATTTTTAACTATGAATATTTAGGATACCATGGTAAACACTTTTTGTAGAGTATCGTAACGCAAAATGATTAATTAAAGATTGCGTTACTATCCTTACCCGTTTTAAAGTTATAGCTTAATTTCTAAGAGACTGTAAATTTATCTAAAAGGGGGGGGGTAGAGGAAAGCACAAAGGGGTAGGAGTGGGGACTTTTGGGAAAATGATCATCTCAACATGGTCTAACAGCATAGAAAAATTCAGCTTTCCCATAGTTACTTACAACATCAAACCTATTTTGACTGTGGGCTACGTACCATCCATGCGCGCCTCGATACTACTACGAATTTTCCACGTTTACTCTTACTGAAATCAACGTAGCTCTGTTGTTTTTGCACACATTTATTTAAACTTGGTGCTGTTGTACTACTTGTTAGTTTTTCTAACCATAAATTTTTTGTAACATGCCCTAAACAAGCGCAATATTTCCGATATTCCATTTTAAAGTATTTTTAAATTTTATTTTTGGCAATAAATGTTGATTAGCGCCTAAAGTATAAGAGATAGAAGAAAGGTTGTAATAACCTTTTTGAAGGACAATATATTTAGGCGTAGATAGACGCTTAATTCACCTTTCTATCATTAACCGTTTGTGAGTTAGACGCGGAAACGTAAACCGATGACCCGCGCAACTTCCCCCCCTCCCCCCCGAGTTGTGACCACCCTAGAAATGCGACATCATCGATTTTTTTCATCTACTAGATGTCCCCAACAATAATCAAAAGTCAAATTTTGTCAGACTTTCAGTGCATACTCAACCCGTTTAGCGCCTGGACTATAAGGCATACTTCAACTTTATGAGTCAAGAATAAGTTCTGAGGGCAAATTTTGTACTTTATTTGTTGTACTGTGCTGTAAATCTAATTTCAATGCTGTGAACACATAATGAGGCCAAACCCTGCCAGAAATATTTTTACAACTCAGTGTAAGGGTTTAAGAGATTACTTTTGCTTTTATATAAAATACTATACACACATACAGCGTTGCTCGATAAAATGTTGTAAGCTAGAAAGTTACTCACTCTTGTTCAGAGAGGTTCCGCAGATCCTCCTCAGGTATGTAGTCTGCGTCGTCTGCATCTCCACGTACGGCGGCTGAGGAGATGTTGAGGGATAGTGGCACCTCTTCTGACCTGGCACGGCTCAGCCAGCCTGATCGTAGAGATAGGGGAGTGTTAATATAAGGTACTAGACATATGAGTCTAACATTAATAAAAAAATCCTCTTGTTCACATTGTAGATCTTCCAAATACAAATTATGGGGTAACCCAAAAAAAGGGACAATTTTAAAATCTTATTACTCAGCTGTTATAACAGCTGGAGAGTTCGTTGTTGTCGCAAATTAATGTTTATTTGATGCCATTTGGTGTATAGTTACCATGGATCATCAATGGTTACCTCAACATCTTCCTTTTGCCATAGACAATTTTTTCAAGAGTAATGTGTCGACCATTTCTACTCAGTTTTGTGTTCACTTCAATGTTGGGCGTAATGGTGACACCCCAAACAAAAAAAAAACTACTCAAAGATGGGTAAGCAATTTTCTGAGCACGGCTTCTGTACTCAAAATTAAACCTATGCAAATTTAAATTTAAATGCAATGTTCTGCAAACGGATGACTTGGGACGCTCGACGCAATTTAGGACACGCAGCACACTTGTGCGAACCATTTCCAATGTTTTCCGGTGTTCGATCAACTCGAGGTCTCCCACTAGGGTTGATTTTGAGTGCAGAAGCCGTGTTCAGGAAATTGCTTACCCGTCTTTGAGTAGTTTTTCGGTGTAGGGTTGCACCATTATGGCCAACGTTGAAATGAACACAAAATTGACGTTGAGTAGAAGTGATAGACAAATTAAAAGTATCTAGGACAAAGACACGATGTTGCGGTAACCGTTGATGATCCATAGTAATTATATGCTAAATGGCATCAAATAAAGATTCGTTTAACGCATCAATGAACTCTCCAGCCTTTATAACAGCTGAGTAATAACATTTTTAAATTGTCCCTGTTTTTTTGGGACACCCTTTATTAAAATATCAATAAAGATATCTTAACACGTACAAAAGACTTGTAACTTCTTTTACACAATTTTTTTGATTTTGCAATCTTCATTTTTATTTGTTCATGTGAAACAACAAATAACTTTATTTACAAAGTTATAAGATTAGCAATGCAGGTTTTGTTTGGCTAACATTTGACCAATAAGAAACCAATTTATTTGGGATAAAGAAGAATTATTCAGCGAACACATGCATTTCGGTAGGTAAAATAAGGATTAAGCATGTACACACTCAACCACATGTAAAATAACAGCTAGTGTAATTTGGTACCCACCTACGTTATTTTTCTTTGCTGCATGTGAACATAAATTTTCAAATTAGTTACTAAGAAAGGATACAACAAGAAATGACTTTTGTTTGTGGTCTAATAAGATCTTATAACGAATCTTATCTTATAAAGAAATAAGATTGTGGTCCCTCTGGAAATGTTATTAGGTTGTCATAATACTGTATTGTTGTCCTGCCTTAGAGATTTAAAATATAGAACATGTTTGGACCTATAACTATGCCATCTACAGACCACAGACGGTTCAAATCTTATCATCAAACTTCCCAGGGAAAACTAAGGCAAAAACGGTGCCCAGTATGATCATAATTGTCTCTGTTGTTCACGACAGAATCAGGCCACTACCTTGTACAATGTTCAATCTGTTGTGCAGCATCTGTATTTTGAGCCTTAATTCACATAGGACCGCAATTAGACATTATTTGTACCATTGAGGGGGGTTCAACCTTAAAGATTAAGTACAGTGTTTATAACAATTCAGAAACATCTTTTTTCAAATTTTACTTTCAGCTTTGTTCAAAGGCTCGTTGTAAGTAGAAGATTCTAGACGAGGTCAGTCTTTCAAGCACACAGTATTGTTTTTGCGGATTCCTCAAACTAGCATAAAATGTAAAAAGTTAAAACTCATAAATATCTTTGTTGCTTATATTTCAGCAAGCCACACATCAGGCTACCTGTATTATCTCGCAGGTTGCTGGCGTCCGTGTGTCTGCTGAAGTGTAGGTTGGGACACAACTTGAGCCGCATGCGTAGAAAGTTCTCATGTCGGGAGAGCTTCCAGTGCTGTTCCTCTTGGTCCCTGTAACAAAATGTGATTTACATGTAAAATGCAGTAATTGAAAAAAACTAACAAATTGGACAAGAAGATAATTCTTTTCCAATTAACAACTAAACACACATAGTTTCTATATCTTATGAAATTCTTGCAGATAGATTACATATTTGGGGTATCTCACACAATTCTTGTTGACATTGTGTAGATATAAACATATATTGTATATATATATAGTAAATATATATATTTGTTTAGATATATAGTCAATGCTAAAGGTCCCAAAGTGCTTTGGGGGGTTATCAATGAGCTGTCTGGGAGCGTTAAATCTCAAGACTTGTTGCGTTTCCTGTACAGAGTTTTTTTTTTACCATAATCACACATTGTAAACGATGAAACATGAAAGCGAATTCATGATTTCAATACTTTTTTCTCTATTGTTGGTCAAAATCTGGCCAATAATATTGCTCCGGAGGAATCCCAATACTAACGACGCTGACCACAGACATGACTCGCAGCTCACGCAAAACTCAGTCAAATTTCAAAGAAAATGTTTCTAATAATCAGGGTTGGTATTTTTTTGAAAAAAAAACAACAATAATTAATTTTACAAAATTACTTGTTGAGGTATTTTTTTTGCAACTGTTCGTGGTATTACACTGTGGACAAGTCCTTCCAAAGTGGTTTAGTTTGTGATCCACCATACTTATGAAAACTCTACAATCAAAATACCGTGATAAATACCCACAATTTTGTAGGCTAATAAAATAATAATACTGTTAATGAACTGTGGATGGAATATTTTTATCTGCATTTATATGAAGAGTTTCAGAATTGAAAAAAAAAAAACTAAGTTCTCTAATAGTGTGATTTGTCTTCAAATTAGGCCTACTTTTCAACTGTGACATCACCATACACATATATACAATCTAAAAACGTATTTTTGTTACTTTATAATGCTTAAATATTGAAATCATGTAATAAAGAAACCTAAGAATTTCAAGTAACTTTGTTGTCTAGGTAAACAATATATACATTCTCCTATGCTGGGCCTACAACGAGTATTTTTATACGAGAATAACATAATTGTTCACAATATTTGGCGAAACAACCTCTGAGCCAAATTATGAAATTTTTGGGTTGGAGTTAAACAATGGTGAGAAAAGACGCTAGATGACAGTTTATATACATGTATATTTAATTAAATTTCATTAACATATATACAATGTCTGAATTTTAAAATGTAACATTGTACAAGATGAGGATGGCTACTTAAAGAATTAGAGTGGAAGAGAAGGAAGGATGAACGAGGATGAAAATGTCAGGGGAGTGTTTTAGTATGATGAATGGGATAAGTGGCTCTAAACATTCGGGGAAAACAAAATAATTTATAAACCCTATTTGTTAAACAAAGTTGAAGGTACAAAATTAAAGTACAGCAGATAGTACTTTGATCATTAAACATCTATATAAATAAATTTAAAATAAAAAAGCAGAGTGTCTGTATAAAACTATTGAACCCTTTCTGTGTCGAATTCATGCAACAATTAATTTACAATCTGAGTTTGAAAAAAGTGCGATAAAAACGTTTTTCATGGATTACCAAAGTGGTTTTTTTCAATTTTAAGATTCGCTTGGATAGACATTTCAGTTTCAATTTAAAGCCACTTATTTAGGTTTTAAAAATGACTTCTCAACTGATAAGAGGAATGTACACGATGAAAGCATGATTATCTACATATTGAAAAGGTGGTATTTTAGACGGCGACAGCGGCGGGGACAACAGCAGCGGGCAGTTCTCGCTGCACGACGGCGTTGAAGCCGTTGACGGGGTCGGCGTAGTAGTTGACAGTGCGTCGAGCGCCATCTGGCTCTATAAGACTGTAACTGCCCTTGACGACTCCTCCGTCACGGGCCTCCTGCTGGACCTTGGAGTCTCCAGTCAGGGTGTCTTGGACGGAGTAGGCGTACTGGTACTGGGGGAAGGCGTCGAGCTCCTCCACCTTGGCGACGGGGGCCACCACAGCGGCGGGGGCGGCTCGGACAAGAGGGGCGGGAGCAACCACTGGGGCAGCAACTGCGGGGGCGGCACGGACGGCGAACGGGGCGGCAGTCCTCACTGGCAGTGCGGGACCCACGGCGGCGTAGGGCGAGGTGTAAGCTGCGTAGGGGGAGGCGAAGGCGACCCCTGGGAGAGGCAGAGGGACCTGAGGAGCTGCAGCGGACAGTGCGGTCCTGGCGAGGCAAAGAGCGAACAGGGAGATCTGCAGAATACAACATTGTAAAATAATTAAATTGATTTAAACCAATAGACATTCTTTATGAATCTTTAGTAGTGTTTGCAAACAAATTAATTAGGTAGTAAGTTGTAAGCGGAACGCAAGATGGACGATGATTACCTGCTTGATTATCCTTTGATACGAATTGTACTAGCATTTGTAAAAAAACCCCGAGGCAGAATGGCCCAATTAAATATAAACTGATGTTAAATGACGTGCTTAACAAGAAACGACTTGGTCCGATTAAGCTTCATATATTGTTATTTTGCTTGAAAATAAATAAATATATTTTTTTGCTTAGTTAGTTTAGAAAAACAAATGTAGGTCCCATCACAACAACAGACTCTACAAAAAACAAAACAAAATTATAATAAAAAAAAGTTTTAGTAAAATTTACTATGTGGAAAGTAGCCACTAAACCCCTATTTAGGATGTGGTCGGAGAAAAATGTTATTAAAATTTATCCAATTTGAACCTTGCGATTATTTTACTACTAAACCAAGGAACAGCATAAAACGTTTCCTCATATTACAATTCAGAACATTATTCTAAATCCACATTTGAAATAGATTTCTCAATAGTTTAAGTATCCTTCAGATTTCTTTCAGCAGCAAATATTTATTGGTAAATATAGCGATTTGAACAATGAAAAAGTAAATACCATTTAGTCTGATTCGAGAGGTAAATACATTGAAATGATTTTTTATCAGTTATTTGCAAAGTGAAAACCCCGCCATGTAATAATTACAAACCGTGAAAAACAAAAGTAACTTGAGATTTTCAACATAACCAAATTTATGGTGGGGTCGAAATTTAAAGTTGAACCTCAGAGTAATAATTGAACTATTCGTAAACGATTTTAACATACAAAATAAAACTCCAAGAAAATTAGTCACGTAAAACATTTCAGCATACTAACCAACTGGCATTGCCATCCTACAACAAAACAATGTTACTCATTCAAAGGGACTGCCCTATCAAGTCTCAACCTTGTATATATTTTATTCAAAACAAATATCAAAATAATCGCTGTTAAAAACAGCAACATTTTGTCACGAGGTTTTGACAGACTTAGACTAAAACTTCGCCACTAACACCTTGCACAACACTAACACTGTCACATCACTGGGACTTACCTGCAAGTAAGCCATGTCGACTGATGCCTTGGATAGAACACCCGAGGCGTTATATAGCAGTTGGAAGACTGATTGGAATATCAAACAGTGAAGTGGCGAAACTCAACTTGGGACTGGCCAATGGTCAAACTAGGATACGCCAACGAGGCTGTGGCCTAGGGCAACTCTGGCCCATAGCTAAATACTTCGATGAACATGGTTAGGAAGATATTAAGTTATTTATGTTATTTATGTTAAAAATTTATTTATTTATTTATGATATGAATAACATGGGTTTCAGGATGAGAATAGTAAATTTCTTCACTAGAGCCTTAAGAGACTCTTTTCCGAAACGAGCCCAAGTTTTACGACGGAGTGGAGGTACATTGTTCACCTTTAAACATTAGCTCCTAAGTGGTTTCCGCCTAGTATTGTTAAATATGATAACCAACCTTACAGATAGCATAGGAATAAGGACAGGTGTTTCAGCTATTTAGACGCATTAGATACTTACTTACTTGAAATACTTGAGGTCTTCATCCTTGACCGACAATGTCGGATAGATTGCGTCAACTCATATGAGTTTGTCAATAAAAAGCATATATTTACACTATTTACAATATATACATTATTTACATATAGATATCACTCCCTTTACACAACTCTAAATTCAATTTGAAATTTCTAAAAATTACTACGAGTATAACATTTCAATTGGTCTCAATGTCGATGAATGTCATTTACTGTAGTGCAATATACAATGTGAAACAAAACACGCACTAAAAGCCTAATAAAGATACGATGATACTTTTTTGATTTAACCTAAATTATTTTCAGTAAAAAAAATCACAGGAGGAATTTTAAAGCAAAAAAGTATAGCTAATTTTCTTGACACTAAATGAATCTTTTTGGCCCTCCTACAAAGGGGATTGTAGGGATGAAAAGAACTACTTTAAATCCGCAACTAAAACAGCCTTTCTCTCCACAGTGTGATACAAAATAATATACAGGGTGATTGATATAAGTGTGCCAGCCGTTTTATTCGAAAACCATAAGAGATATAAAAAAAAAGTTAAATGGTAAGTGCCTTGGATTTTTTATTTAAAAAATTATAGTCAAGTCAAAAAAATTATTTTAGCTGCCATTTTTCCAATATGGCCGCCAACTTTGATTTTTCTTATGGAACACCCTGTATTTCATGATGTATTATGGTAGAAAATGTAATTTTAAGACGATTTTATTCTTGTAATTTTTTTCATAAACCTAACCGTTTCAAAGATAATAATGGTTTAAGTTGTGAAATTTTGAATGGTTTTGGAATAAAACAGCTGGCATGCTTGCTAAGGCCTTTATCGAAACTCTTTCTCATGCAGAAATTTCAAAACTTTAACCATTATTATCTTTGAAACGGTTAGGTTTATGAAAAAAATTACAAGAATAAAATCGTCTTAAAATTACATTTTCTACCAGAATACATCATAAAATACAGGGTGTTCCATAAGAAAAATCAAAGTTGGCGGCCATATTGGAAAAATGGCGGCTAAAATAATTTTTTTGACTTGACTACAATTTTTTAAATAAAAAATCCAAGGCACTTACCATTTAACTTTTTTTGATATCTCTTATAGTTTTCGAATAAAACGGCTGGCACACTTATATCAATCACCCTGTATTATCTTATCTAATATCCGTTGAAGAAATCTATTAGTTGAACTGGTTCTGATCCATTTCTTCCATTTCCATCGCATACTCCGGTTCAACTTTGCTACAGTTCACGACAATGTAAATCGTATCGTGAAACTGCTGAATCAGCTTGTATATAATCACCTTAATGCTAATAAAAAGATGTCTTATTGCATAATCCATACAGATATTATTAATTTCGATACTTGCTATGGTCGATATCGATAAATTCAAGAAAGGCTCATACGGTAAATACATCTAGAGTTTTGACAAATCGCATTCATAATCCATTACTCAAACTGTTAGTCAAACATGCAAATACGTATTACACCTTGAAATACATTAATTCACATTAATACTATGGCCTATTAAAAACGTAGATGGCGAGCCCAGTTGCAGTCCATAAACAGGTTGCAGTCCATTAATTTGCTCTTCTACCTACAAGTCCAAATTGATGGGTTGCAACCAGTTGTGAACAAGATGTACGAGGGGAGATCAAAAGGCAGTGGACGTCCTCCAGCTGATGTCCTCGCCTTGACTCCGGCTACAGATATGGATGTAACACTTCAGAGTGCCTGGGAAGGATTGATTTTTACTGAATTACTTCATTAGCAAATTAACCAATGATGCTTTCTGACCGGACTACCTTGGTTAGAATGTTGACGCGGATTGCTTGAAAGCGATGCGAAGTAATTGTGATTACATAAATGATAGACTAATAATGTAACAACTCAACTAGTGAGTGACCTTCAATTCATTTTGGAGAATATTTAAAGATGGATTGAGGAATCATTTCTGTTTAAAAGTTAACTACTGAATGCTATGTACAAAAATGGGCATTCACGACTTGTGAATGCCATATAATCTTTACTACTTATTAACACAAAAGTTTTGGTTATTAACAGCGAGTGTTAATCACCAGCAAGCTACATGTTCGGTAGTTTAGTTATTATAATCTACTAGCTGTTACCCACGGGCTTCACCTCGTTCGACTTCATAAGTATTAATAACATTATTGATTGGTTAGGTTGGGCTGAAATAAACAAAACAGTATACAGTAATACAAACAAATAAGTACAGCTGAGGTATTTTAACATTAGGTATATAAAAAGTTTCCTTTAGAAAGGAACTACGACCTTAAAGGGCAATTTATGAAATAATGGATAGTTTTGCGCAAAATTTCTCGTCATGACGAACATTTTAAGTACCTATATGGTTTATGGGGGTGTGACTTGTAGTTTTCTCAAAAGTTCATGGGTACTTTTGGCTTTATATACAGGGTGTTTTTTTAAAAACTTGCATCTTTATTTATGTAAAAACCGCAATAGATAGAAATATGCAGTTTGCGGGAATCATCTATTGACGTAGGGGGACCAATTGTTTTGAATTCAATGTTACATTCACATTCCCCCCCTTCCCCCCCCTGCCCCCAACTTATTTTTTTTAAATAGCAAGGTACCCCTTGTGACATATCAAATAAAAGAGCATAAAAAAAGAAAATGTTTGATGAAAAAGAATTGAAAATCGGTTCATAAATTTGTGAGATATTCCCCCCCTCACCCCCCCGGAACTTATTTTTTTTTAATAGCAAAGTACCCCTTGTGACATATCAAATGAAAGAGCATGAAAAAAGAAAATTTTTGGTGAAAAAAAAATTAAAATCGGCTTATGAATTTATGAGATAATCACCCCCCTTTTCCCCTACCCATAACTTGTTTTTTTAATAGCAAGGTACCCGCCCTTGTGACATATCAAATGAAAAATAAATTTCACCAAAATTTTTCTTTTTTTATGCTCTTTCATTTGATATGTCACAAGGGGTACTTTGCTATTAAAAAAAATTAAGTTCCGGGGGGGTAAGGGGGGGAATATCTCACAAATTTATGAACCGATTTTCAATTTTTTTTCATCAAACATTTTCTTTTTTCATGCTCTTTAATTTGATATGTCACAAGGGGTACCTTGCTATTTAAAAAAATTAAGTTGGGGGCAGGGGGGGAAAGGGGGGGAATGTGAATGTAACGTTGAATTCAAAACAATTGGTCCCCCTACGTCAATAGATGATTACTGCAAACTGCATATTTCTATCTATTGCGGTTTTTACATAAATAAAGATGCAAGTTTTAAAAAAAACACCCTGTATAGATTTTGTAATAATGTATTTTATTGACCAGTGATTTTAAAGTAGATAAATAATGTAAGTTGATTAGTAAAAACCCACATCTCACAATAAAGATAACAAAATAATTAGCTATTTTTGAAGCGATTCTATGTAGATGCGATGACGAAATTTCGTTTGTTACAGTGTTTGGTACAGGGATCTCCAAATTAAAATTATTTTACTCAGTAAATATTTATGTACAAAACAACATTGGATGTGGCAGCACTCTAGGTGCTTAAAGGTGCTTTTTAAGAAACAACCCGTCCTCCATCCGACAAACGAATAGACTGCAGTCTCGGTGCGTTATCGGAGTCAAAATCGGAGAAGGGTCGGAGTATGACGTGACGCGTGTCGGAGAGGTGTAAACACCCGCGTTCAAAGTTAAGTACCATTCCCCTCTTCGACAGTCGTACCACAGTATGATCGGAGTCGGATCGGAAGGGTGTACGATTGTATGACAAGTGTGTCCCCGCCTTTAGACAGAAAAACCGCAATTTTATGGTTTCGAGCGAAAAAGATACGATTACATTCTACTATAAGAATCACCTTTTCAAGTGGTTGGAATCATGTTCAAGTTGGTTTATCATGTTCATAGATCAGTTCAAGGCAGTATAAGGTAATGTCCTATACAGTTTATGTATATGTAGAGTATTTTCACGTTTGTTACGTATTCCTTGCAATTTAACCCACATTGAACCTATTCCAACCGGAGGTAGTCATCACATATCAAAATATTCTTTAGATAAAAAAAAAACGAGAAGTCTAATTAAATAATAGCAAGTCAATGATTAAACCATGTAACACTAATTGCACGTTTATCTTAGCGTTTATTCTTCTTTCGGGATGTTTCAGTGGGCGATGAGGCCATTGGGGCTGTTCTAGAACGTTGTCATCCCCAGCCATCTTAATGTATATTATCCACACGGAGGGGTCTCCAGGAAGTTCCCGGTGGCCTATAGTGATGATGCGTGAAGGTCGCTACCATATCTTACGTAACATCGTCGGTCGTCGGTACCCCGCACACGCCGTTACTTTCCCCAGGCTTGGTACACTTGGCGCGGTGACATGATGTGTTAATGGCAACGCATCTAGTCCCCACTACAAAATCGTCTTGTCGCCCTAGCAACGCTTCTAGTCACCCTTGGCAACACGTCTAGTCACCCCTAGTAACGCTTCTAAACTCTCCCTAGCAA